AATTTTCCTTTCATGGATATCTGAACTGCATGCCACACATATATATATATATATATATATATATATATATATATGTGTGTGTGTGTGTTTATATATATTTTTTTTCTTATGGCCATCATAATACTTGAAAAAAAATGTAGGGTCAAAAAATGAGATAAATCAAAAAAGAAACCCAATAACAGAAGTATTAGTTTCTCCAGGAGGTAATTTGATATAATTGTGATTAATATTAGTTAAATAATCTTTAGTAATGTCATTTGTATTGTTGGTAAACCACACATACACATTTATCAGCCTTGATATTAAGTTTTGTATCTACTACTTCCAAATAGACTTTATCTTAATAAAAAAACTAATTATGAAACAATTGTACATAAAGTGTCAACAGTCTTACATGAAAGACTTACATGGCCTGTGCCTACTGTTCTATGCATATGACTTACACAGATGTAAAGACAGTAGTCACAGGCAAAAGAAATGACAGGGCATGTAACATAGCCCCATATAGAAAACTCACAGAGCTTGTGTTCACATTCCTATATGGAAGAGTTACAAGTTTTATGCCCAAAACTTGCAGAGCTTTTGCCTACATTCCTACGTGAAAACTTGCACTATATGTAAAAGAATTGAAGGGTTCTTGCCTATTGTCCATGATATAGACTTATAGTTTATATCTACAGTCTTAGGTGGAAGAATTGAATTAAAAGGTATTCAATAAAGTTACAGGGCTTGTGCCTAAAATCCTATACAGAAGCCTTGCAAGATTTGTGCCAATTACCCATGCCAGTGTGTGCCTACCATCATATCTGGAAAACATACAGCTTTATTGACGCACTTGTTAAAATGGTGCAATAAATCAGGTGTAATATGGAAGAGAGGGCACTACAAAAGAGAGGAAATGTTGAAAAGCTAAGCTCTTATAGATTTCTGAAAATTATTTAATATTAATATTATAATTTGTAGTAAGTTGGGTTAAATAACACAAGAATAACTAGATATAGTAAGATTGGTAAATAAAAGTAAGTAAGGTGTAAATTTTACTACAATGTTAAAACAGGCTTAGTACGTGTAACAATACATTAGGCTTAGGTATATTTCAACTTACCGGTAAATCATAAAACAGATTAAATATGTTGTTTTTATTAAATAAATACAATCTAAAAACGAGTTTATTGTCTTTTTGTGTTTTAAGGATTAACTTGTTTACTTGAACTTAGAACCATTAGTTTAAATTCAGCCTATAATTATAGGTAGGTTACAAATCAGGCTAAATACATTGTATTATTAACATTATATATATATACATCAAAGACTAGTTATAGTCACTTCTAATAGTTATATTTCCAAGTTCTATATAAGTAAAGATAACTTTATTGCTTTAGTATGACAACAAACTAGTGATAAAAAACTAATATAATTGGATCTTAAATGTTAGGCTTAACAGTAACAGTGTTGACAACAGGCTACTGGTATTCGGGATTGAGCATTTATTTTCAGGCTACAAGTATAAATAGTTATAGTTATATTTCTAAGGGTCAGAGAAGGATATGGATGATAAAGAGGTTATAGTTATAGGTGATTCCTTGATGTGGATAGGATAGTCTGTGGGGTAAATAGTGAAAAAAGAATCAGGTTATGCTACCCAGAGGCACAGGTAGAGGATATAACTGACAGAGCAGGAGATATAATAAAGGGGCCAGCAGAGATGCAGTTTTTGTGGCACATGTAGGGGCTAAAGATGTAGGGAAGATAGGTCAGAGGAGTTAATTAATAAGTATAAGGGGGGTTGATAAAGACATTTAAAGAAAAAGGCCATAAATTAATTTTGTCAGGGATACCATGGGGATGAGGTTATAACTAGGTCACTAGAGCTAAATATTAGGCTTAGGTTAGTATGTAACGATGAGCAAATTGGCTGGTTGGACTTGTTCAGTGGAAGAAGGGGCCTTTTGGAATGGATAGTTTAGATTTAACCCTTTAGAGACAGGTCACAGGCAAAAGGCCATGTCATCTCAGTTGTTGACCTGCATTTAAAATTTTATTGAACAACTATTTCAAGAATTTATGGCAATAAGTTTGGTATCAAACTGTAGACTATAATTCAAATTTTAGTACTATATATATATTACTCAATTTCTTAATTTAAAAGCAAATATTAAAAGACATGTCATCTCAGTTGTTGACTTGCATTTAAAATTTTATTGAACTACTATTTCATGAATTTATGCCAATAAGTTTGGTATCAAATTGTAGATTATAATTCAAATTTTAGTACTATCTATTACTCAATTTCTTAATTTAAAAGCAAATATTAAAAAACACAGATAAATATCAATTTTTGTGTGTCACGTGGTATATTGAATGCAGCACTGGTTCAAATTTGATGTTTGTGAAGTCAAAATACTAAGTATATAGTTTCATACGAATTAGAAACTCAAATTAATGCTATTGACAAGCTAGAATATAATATAAGAGCATCTTATCTTTTCAATTTGCTAAGATATTGCTCATGTA